AAGTGTGGCTCACAAGCTTCCCCTACTACACTAGTATTTTTATGGGGAGTTGCAGCTATCTGTAGAAGGAAAAGGCAGGGGTCCTCCTAACGCAGGTGGGAGGATATCTTGTTGAAAAGCCAGGAAGCCAGGAGCATCTGCAGTCGGAATGTGACATTGTCCTCAGCTTGACCACGTCTCTGATAACCTTCATCGGAGCGACTGGAACAGGCCATTGCCTTCTATTCCTCCCATTCACTGCAGAACTTTGCTTGACAAGGTTTGAGCTTAATTTTTAGAGCTGCTTGTTTGAACCAAGTATGAGGCATTCGGTATATTGATTTTTGTCTCTGTACATTAGGTAAAGGGACATTTATTTCTAAGAAAGGAAATGGCTGTGTTAACTCCTGTAATGGCTTCCGTCACCCCTGGGAACTCGCCATCATTAGAAACCACTAATTATGACTGTAGCCCGTTAGAGCATAGCAAAGATGGGAGGCGTAACTGGAGTTGGTAGAGAATATAAATTGCGTATCACTTTACCTTCATTGTAGGAACCTGTCGTGAAATGTCCTGTGACTATGTGATGTCATGATGGGCCACAGCTCTGGGACACACAGATGTGTAGTGGCGCAGTCGTAAAGGGTCAGTCTGCCAGGCACGCTGCTCACACTTGTAATCCCAATTTACAGGAGTTTCGGGCTAGCCTGAGCTACAGAATGAAAACCTATCATTTCAAAAAGAAAAGAAAAAAAAGAGAAAAAAAAGATTAAAAAAGAGACAAAATAAACCCAGAAATGGAAAGTAAAGTTGTGATTACCGGGGGATGAGGAGACTATAAAGGTATTGGTCAAGACGTACCAAATTTCAGTTCACACAGGAGTGATCTAGAGACTGCTTCATTACCTGGATGGTGACTATAGTTCTTAGAGATTTCTGGAACTCTTAAAATTCACTGAAAAGAGGCTTAAGGGGTATTACTGCCACTACCTTCAAAATATGTATCTGAGGTAATGCATATGTTAATAAGTTCACTTTTTTTAATGTATACATGTTACGTATACATGTTTACTATGTATACATTGTGTGTGTGTATGCGTGTGTGTGTGTGTGTGTGTGTGTGTGTGTGTGTGTTTACGTGGTGCTCTGGATCCTAACTAATGTCTTTATGCTTGGACAGCAGGCACTTTTAAAAATTAAATTAATTGATATATATATTAAACCCTAGCTGGTTTCCCCTCCCTCCTCTCTTATCATTCCCTCCCCCGTGTCTCCTTTGCTCCCCCCCCCCCACCAATCCATCCCTCCTCTGTTTCAGTTAAGAAAGGGGCAGGCCTCCCATGGGTATGAACCAAGTATGGCATATCAGGTTTCAGTAAGACTAAGCACCTCCCCTTGTAATAAGGCTGGGCAAGATAACCCAGTTTGAGGAACAGGGTCCTAAAAGCCAGCCACAGTATTGGGGACAACTGCTGCTCCCACTGTTAGGAGTCCTACAAGTAGACCAAGCTACACAACTGCCGCATATATGGAGAGGGCCCGGGTTAGTCTCATGCAGGTTCCATGGTTATTGGTTCAGACTCTGAGCATCTATGAACCCAGGTTAGTTGATTCTGTACGTTTTCTTGACTCTGGCTGGTACAATCAGCAGGATTCCCTGAGATTGGCCTAATGTTTGGCTGTGGGTCTCTACATCTGTTTCCAACAGTTAACTGGCTGAAGGCTCTCTGATGACAACTGGGGTCCTCAGCAATCTGTGGGAAGAGCAACATATCTTTAGGCATCCTATGTTGACATTTGGGTCTACCCTAGGTCTCTGGGCCATTCAGACTCCGGGTCCCAGCACTCCAGGCACTGTCAGAGGTAGAATCACTGTTGTGGCATGGGTCTGATGCTGGACCTGTCATTGGTTGGCCACTCCCGCAATTTCTGCACCACCCTTATCCCAGCATCTCCTGTAGACAGGACAGACTGTTGATCTAAAGTTGTGTGGCTGACTGGTGTCTCAGTTCCTCCACTGAGAGACTTCTGAGTCATAGGAAATGGCCAGTTCAGACTCCATATCCACTGTCAGCAAGCATTTTTTTCCACTAAACCATCTTTCCAGCCTTGTATTCATAAACACATAATATACACACTATAAATATATACATTTATCATTTAATAATAAATTTACAGCATGGCTGGTATGATCTGTAATCAGAGATCATGGAAAATTTCAGTTCTTTTGTGAAAATGTCTATAGAATATTAGACATGTAATAAACAGTTCATGACCTTTTACTAAAAATAAATATAATTGGAGCCAGGAGTCATGCTGCCTGGGCATCACAAAGCTTCAGTATTTGCAATTCTTGTGATCTGGTAGCAAGGTGCCTGGCTACTATGCACCATGATTCCTTCATCTTTAAAATGGCGCTGACAACGAATAAACCTTTAGAGTCACCGTGAAGCTAAGTGTTTTAAACCGTGTCAGGTACTCGTAGTGGGTCAACTCCATCATCGTTAGCCCTTGGCTTGTTGTTTTTATTGTATTTCTGGCTCTCACAGGTCAGGAACTTAACTTTGAAATGAAAAGGTAGCCATAATTCAACATAGTCTCTGTTTCTGCAGTTAGATAACAATTAAAAGTATGAGTACGCGTAAAACAATCATGGCTGTCGGTCAGTCATGGCTGTCAATCTTACTCGTCAAGTACAGTTGTCAAGTGAAACCTCCTTGATCATGACTTGTGTGAACTGAAGGTGCAGTCATACACCACATGGTATCACACGTTACACACTTGCCGCACACAGTCATGTATCCTAGGAGTACATTTATCTGCTCACGTCCCCATCTAGAACAATGTAGAACTATATTTCTAAAGCAAATTACTTCTTTTAAAACAATTTTCTGTTTGTAGTAGCCAAAGAACTTTCTAGTTTTTCTTCCTAAAATATTCAGAACATACTGTGAGAACAATTGTCCTTTAATTTATAGTTTGTTTCTGTATAACTTCATTAGACTTAAGTTAACCCAACCCCAGAGAGGCCCAGAAACACATGTGACTGTAAAATGTCATGTATTCTAAATTAGGCAGATTGGAAGACAATGGTGAAGGGTATGTTTACATTTACTGTTGAGCTCTGATGTTCCAATGAGGGGGGAAAAAACAAACCAGAAACCGGGAATGGTAACTTTGATTCTAGTCATGAGATTGTTGTTTCCTTCTTAGCCAATACAATGACGAATATACATATATATGCATATATTATATGTGTATATGTATATATGCATATGCATATATAATACATTATAGTATCTATATAAACTTACAGTAGATTTATTAAATTAAGCAACAAAGTTTCCTTCCTTTGAACAACCTTTTGTCAGCGTATTGCCAATAAACCTCATTCACAGTGGAAGCAATTGAAAGAATCATTTTTTTACAAGTTAAATGTGGGTTCTTGTCTTTTTTGTTCAGAGTTGAAAATGTCAGGTCAGTGGATCTAGCTATGATCAGACCCCTTAATCCTGTTTTAATTATGGGTTCTCTGCTACTTCTGATTTTATATGGATTTGAGACTGACATTCAGACATTCATGACAATGTTTTAAATACACAGTATTACAGAGGAGTCACCTCAAAGCGACCTTAAGATGAGACTCTCTAGACATAATTACAGAGAGGAAGTAACTGCTGCCCTAGAATGAGTGGATGGTTTTTAGGAATATCTTATTTTCAAATTTTCCAGCTAAGCACTGTGGTGCTTGAAGAGGTGCGGGGGGGGGGGGGAGGATGATGCAATGATCATGCACAGCATGCTCAGATTCTCATGACTGTGTGTCTGAAGACCCTCTGTACCACATATGACTGACCACATACTTCTCCCAGGAGAGCTGGCCCATAAGCCTGCCTTTGCCACCACATTCCTGGGAGACTAGTTTGCTAGTGGGTATATGTGTCATTTTTCAGAGATCACATAAATATTTATTGTGCATAATTACTTTTTATGGCAGTCTAGGAACCTATTTACTTTTAGGGGACTCTGCTAGACAATGATATAAGCTTACCACTTGATTTTTGATAAGATGAATTTGAATTCAATAATAGCCATTAAAAATGTTTCTAAACTTTAAAATGAAAATTTCCGTGTTTGGGTCCTATTGATACTCTTCACTAATGCTATAGTTTCCATGGCAAAGTATATATCTTAAATTATAAGTGTAATATTTCTCCAAGCTTTTCACAAAGTTCTGTATTTTAAGCTCTGCATCTTCATTTGCGAGATGAAGATGTGGAGAGTGAATGATCTCTAAGAATCTTCTGCAACCTGACGTTCGCTGAGTTTAACATCCAGCCTATTTTGTTATTTTATTTTATTTTTATTTTTATTTTCTTTTTGGTTTTTTTAATTTTTATTTATTTGTTTATTTATTAAAGATTTCTGTCTCTTCCCCACCGCCGCCTCCCCTTTCCCTCCCCCTCCCCAAATCAAATCCCCCTCCCTCGTCAGCCCAAAGAGCAGTCAGGGTTCCCTGCCCTGTGGGAAGTCCAAGGGCCACCCACCTCCATCCAGGTCTAGTAAGGTGAGCATCCACGAAACTGCCTAGGCTCCCACGAAACCAATAGGTACAGTAGGATCAAAAACCCATTGCCATTGTTCTTGAGGTCTCAGTAGTCCTCATTGTCCACTATGTTCAGCTAGACCGGTTTTAACCCGGGCTTTTTCAGATTTTGTTATTTTAAATATCCAACCGGGTTCCCAAAATGTCTGCAGAATGTTTAAAGTTGTACAACTTGACCTCAAAAAGTGGCCTCTTTTTCAGCCATAACCAGATTCTATACCCAGAGATCGCTTTGCTGTGTGGCAGGCATGGTGGTAGCATCTTACAGAGAGATAGAGAGGTAAAGCGACTTGCCTTTATCTGCCAGGAAAATAGCTGTTAGAGGTCCAGCCATTCCGTCTTGTCAACTGCATCTGCTTCAGTCATCCGAGAAGGTGAACTGATATCAACCCTCCTCTCTCACTCTTCCCAACAGAAAGGAGAACCCGACTGCTACATGCTCTCCCTGGAGGCAAGCGAGCAGCTCACCTTGGAGATCCCCCTAAATGATTCTGGCTCCGCTGGCCTCGGAGTTAGCTTGAAAGGGAATAAATCCCGAGAAACTGGAACTGACTTGGGGATTTTTATCAAATCTGTCATCCATGGAGGTGCTGCTTTCAAGGTAAGGGTGTGTGCTTGCCTGGGTGCTAGTACTTGGGGATGTAACTGTTGTGCTTGAACCCAGAGAGAGGCCATTGCTAAAAGGATGGGATCTATTGAGACTTTCCTGCTGGACGCTGTAAGTGTGTGTGAACAGATCTGAGGCCAGTTCCTTGTTTTCATACTTCCTAAAATAATTCTGGAAGCTTATCATGATTCCCATTCTTTTGATTACTCTATTAAGGGTCCTTTGAATTTATAACTTGGCAGAGTAGCCCCTAAAACTATGCCATCAGAAAAACAAGACTGAAATGAGTTGACATCAAGGCAACAAATGAGAAAACTGTGCTTACAACAAAAGAAAGAAGCAAGCAAGCTTAGTGGGTTCTAAGAATGACTGTAGAATAAACTAAAAGTCATCCATCACTCTGTGTACCTGAAGATAATCACAGTGCACCGGACATATTTGCCTTCCAACACTCGAGTAAGCTGATTCAGTTCCTGAAAGACAGAGAATATTATGGCCATACTTTTTCACATTCGGATGGACGGAGACCAAAGCTATTACCATGCCACTAATCCAGCACTGCCCCTACTGGGTGTCCATGTGACACTGTGGCCAAGGATGTTCACTAGTTGTCTCTCGTTTTGTTACCTGCAGAACCTAGTCCACAAGGGCCCTAGGGATTAAATAATGAATGCGCACAAGAGATTGAGAGGAGCAAAGTGATCATAGAGAGGGAAAGCAAGTCCCTAACCACCATCTCCTCGTGCCATGGAATGGTATTCTAGCATCCTGCTCGCATCTTTCTCTTGCTCTGTAAACACAGGCAAACTAATCTTCCGAGCTGGCCCCAGTGTCCTCATTTAGGGAGTCAGTAAAGTTTGTAGCGCTTATGTGTCCCTACTATTATGATGACTAGGACACAATCCACATAGAGCAGTGGTTCTCAACTTAGGGGTCACAAACCCTTTTGGGCTTTCATATCAGCTATCCCGCATATATATTTGCATTATGATTCATCAGTAGCAAGATTACAGTTATAAGTAGCAATGTAATTTTATGATTGGGGAATCGCTACAACATGAGGAACAACATTAGGAAGGTTGAGAACCGTTGACATAGAGTCTTTGGCTCCGTGTCTACCAAAGCCTCTAATGCCTGTTAACCATTGCGAGTGGGCTCACTGTTGGCCATGTGTGCCCCCTCGCACACCAAAGCTGAGGATGCCTATTTAGACTTTACAGGAATAGCCAGGTCTTATCCTTGCTTTGTTTATCACTCTCTCCTTATGTCTCCACTTCTACTGTTCCTTCAATTTAGACTCTCAGCTGATGTCTTCTTTCTTGGAACAGTGGGATTTGCACTATGGGTAGGCAATTCTTTAATTTATTCTCCAGCTCAGTTAGCTTTTGTCACATGATCAATAATTATAAAAGTTCTTAATGAGTAAGCTTTTATTTTGCTCATGGCTCTGCAGGGCAATTCCTAATGGTGGTGGAGGTTCTGATGCAGGCTGGGTGTTTTCTGTCACACTGTAGATCTGTAGGAGGAGGGCCCGCATATTCGTCCCGGCCGTGGTAGCCTGGAAATAACCACACAGAGATTGTATTCATTAAAACACTGCTTGGCTCATTAGCTCTGACTTCTTACTGGCTGACTCTTATATTAATATAACCCATTTCTATTAATTTGTGTATCACCATGAGGTCATTGCCTATAGGCAAAGTTCTAGCACGTCTATCTCTGGTGGGGGATCCATGACAATTATCTCCCTCTGCCTTCCTTTTGCCCAGCATGCCATTTAGTTTTCCCTGCTTACCTAAGTTCTGCCCTATCAACAGGCCCAAAGCAGTTTCTTTATTAACCAATGCATGCAACACAAACAGAAAAAGACCTCTTACACCATTGAGCCTATGGAAGGGAAGAACAGAACTAGGCAGGGAAAGCTAGGCCGTATACTAGGAGAAGAAAGGCAGTCAAGGAGCAGCCATGGATCCACTGGAGACAGATGCTGTCATGTGGTGACCTACGTATTAATAGAAATGGGTTAAATTAATATAAGAGTTAGCCAATAAAAAGCTAGAGCTAATGGTACAAGCAGTGTTTTAGTTAATACTGTTTCTGTGTGGTTATTTCCGGGCTAAGCTAGCTGGGTGGCTTGGACAAACAAGCAGGCCCTCCTTGCAGCATAGGTCTATAGACATATTATGTTCCACATATTTTTCCAACCCTATGAGAGCAGGCTAATAGATATCAGAGGGCTAGCTGCAATGGGAAATGCCTTACAATGCCTGGACTCTGAAGTGCTCCACTGTCACACCACACATACAAAACTCATCAGAATCATCATCAGACTGAACCTAAGGTCTTGGACTGAAAATTATTGTCCTCACAGGGGAGCTGGCAGAAGTGTGAGTGCAGAGACTGACCAAGCAATGAGGTCTATGAATGAATCTCCAATACCCTCTAATGGGTCTCAGATAGCAGGAAGGGAAACAGAGGGACAATAATAGCAACAAACATTGACATCCATCATACTTCCTGCTTGTATATGCCAGGCACCACGATAAGTATTTAAAATGGATTCTCCAATTTTATTCTTCATTTTTACATTTTTATTATGTCATTTTATCAAAAAGCCGTGATTTCAGGGCTCTATTCTTATGAGATGATCCAGACTTGCCAAATAAAGCATCAGACTTCATAGCCTGTGCTACACTGTTTTAGCATGAAGATACTTTTCAGTGCATCTAAGTGTGTGCCTGAATGCAGGGGCTTCTTCCTGGCACAGCCTTGTATCATGTTCATTCTTCTTAGCAAGCAGTCTAAGTGTGCACTTTGTTCAAGAACAGGTGCTATGTTTGTGGACACCTGCTTGATATTATTATTCTCCCTCCTAATGGCAGCTCTTTTGTGAAGAGTTTAATCAAAGCAAAGTTGAAAATGAGATGACTTTTTGTAAATTAAAAGAAAACATCTTTGTTTTTGTTTTGTTTTGTTTTTTTAAAAAGAGGGGGGTGGCAATAGCTTCAGTTCCAGCAGATAGATATTGGTGTGTGGTTCAGTACGCATTTCTGATTGTGACAATGAGCAACCCCTTACCTGAGCAGACTCTCATAGTCCCATTCCTTGCTGCGAGATTTCACTTTCTGTTCATGTACACTTCCTTCCTGACACACCATTGAAAGCACTGGACAGCATAGTTATAATTGTAGTTTGTAACATTAAGAGGCATTGATACATGAATTTAGCCTTGTCATGCATGAATGCTTGGTAGCCTTTTGTCTTGTGTACCTCTTTCACTGTGAGCAGTAGAGCCCTGAGCTCTGTTCACAAGGAATTCGATTAAGGGAAAGAAAGCTGTATTTTCCCTTTTTCTGCTAGTGCAATAATCCACTGTTACTCCTCAGAAGATTGTCTCCTGTTCCCCAAATCTGGATTAAGTCTTACAAAATTGTCTGGAGACTTTGTTCCTGTCTTGGTTGAAGAGAAACAAATGTAACGGACTGCAGTGTCCCTGAGGCTTGGAAGATGAGCACCCGGACATCCCTATTAGCATCTGGCCCTAGGATTTTACTTGAAATCAACAAAATGCTTTTTTCTACTGGAGCCCGATCTTTTTCTCCCAGCATTTCGTTCCACTAATTGGTTCTCAAGGTGGTTTTCCCTTAAGGGAAGGTGGATTGTTGAAAACTAAACTACTTTGAAAAGTATGACCAAATTCTTCCTGTGGATTCTGCCTGCTGTATCCTCCTGGGAGCTTCTGAAGATATAAACAAAGACAGGCTACCCACCAGATGTAAAATCTCAGAATGACCCGGGGTCTGATGTCTCTTGTCTCACCTACCAGGCTACTGCTTTCAAGCTTCTCGTTTCTTCTTTAAGTTATTTCTAATAAAAAAAAAAAAAGGCAATTTTTATTATTGATATTTGCTACTAAAAGCATACAGATACTCTTGAGTGCACTTTGGGAAACAAGTAGGAACTTGAGCAGGAAGCCAGGGCAAGCTGAATTACAGGTATACCTTGCTCAAAATTATCCAAATACTTAACTAACTCAGAACATTGAAGATACATTAAAAAAAAAAAAAAACACCCAAGAAAAATCAGGGAAAAAAGAAAACAAAAGAATGCCCAGAAACTGAGAGGTGATTGAAGAAAGGTACCCAGGTGTCGTCTCTGACCTCCCACACATGTACATGAGTGAAATACCCGTTCATACTGGAGAACAATCTTGTTGACTATGCATACACGCAACACTTCTATACACACAAAGGAGCACGAGAAATAACACCCAGAAATTCTACTTTCCAAAAGCCATGCAGTTACAGGCTGTCATGGTATGTGGAGTTCCTTGCAGAGCCTTCTGAAGCATCACTGTGAGCTATCCCACATCATCCCACATCATTCACGCAGCAACATGGACCACACCGCACAGTGCTGCTTCTTGGAGAACTGACGGCGTATGCTGACACAATGCTCCTGTTGCAGGCTGCTACTTGGATTTTCATTTCTTTCATTCCTCCTAGGCATTTGTCCCCAAAGTACAGTGTCATTACTTCTAAAAACAAAATATAAGAGAATGTGTCTGCTGTGACTAGGATGAAATCAGGAGGTCCTTGAGGATGAGTTTTTTTCAAATTCCCTTTTGTGGTTGGAATTTCAAGTGAAACTTGTTGTTGCTGTTAAAAGGAAAGAAATGGTGTCAGTTTTACACTTGGGAAGGTGTTCTCCCTTTTCCAAATTTTCATTAAGCCTTCACTTCGTATTTTCTCAAGGTCACTCAATGTCTCTAGTGACTTTGAAGACTCTAGATATTTAATCATTTGCTAAACATTTTCAAGTTCAATGGTTTTTCTTTGCTTTTGATGAACCATATTACATATTAAAGTTTAATATGTTTTATTATTTATTTTATATTTACTGCTTACACTTAGACTGGTTTTCTTTTACTGCAGTCATTTTTAGAAAAGATCCATCTTTTTTTAATTTAGGAAAAACATCAACACTAGTATGGG